GTTTATCATTAATTATAATTATTTATTTTTAGGAAATGTAATTTATGCACGTATTGAAATGACTTGTGATATTATATAATATACTTATCAAATAATAATTAATAAATGTATGTACCTGTTTAAATTTATTATTTACGTAAAATAAGTAATCCACTTTTAGTTATAGTTAGAATTTTTTATGGCTCTCAGTTATAAGAGCTGTATACAACTAACGAAGTAATTATAAAATTTACGTATAAGGGGTACTCGAGAAACAACTAATGGGCTAATGGGGTACATCAACAAAAAAGGTTGAGAACCACTGGTATAGAATGATTTATAGATGATACAAGCTGGAGAGAAATGATCCTTTTTAGTATAAAATAAAATGAAAGTGGAGAGAGATTTTTAATAGAAATTTTTTATAAATGAAATGAAATATTCCATTTGTTCAGNAAATAAAATTTAAAATTTAAAATATATTTCTTGATTAATGAAATTGATCACTTGTATTGAAAATGGTTTGAATACTTCTAATTATATGGATTTATCGACTGTGGCTTCCTCAAACTTGACTTTATCTCGATTATGGCACTTTGACTCAATTGTGACTTCCTTAATTTTGACATTATCCCGATTTTGACTATAATTTTAATTATATCCCGATTATGACGTCTCGAATATTGATTTTAACTGGATTGTGACTTCACCAATTTTGACTTCCAATTGCGTCCTCTCGAACTATGTCTTTACTTTGATTGTGACTTTTCTAATTTGAATTTCTAATTGTGTCTACCCGAATTTCGGCTTTCCATAATTGTGTCCGTTGTTTATTTTGTTGATGATGACATTGAACCAAACAAAACAAGGAGAAAAAGACACGGTTTCGACAAATAAATAAAACAAGATTTCTGAAATATTAAAAGATACACATCATGAAATGGTAAGTGGAATTATTCTTATGAAATAACAAATTTTAAATAAATGTAGTTAAGCATTGTTTGTCGTTTTCAGATTACGGATCCTGATCCTAAACTTCTATGATTAAGAAGTATTCGGAGAGTTCGAGAGAAAGAACTTCAAAATTTTTCAACAAGCAAACAACATGGATTCATTTGAATTACATTGAATTAAACACGTGCATAGTGCTGCTGCAAAAGAAAGAAATTTTAATCAATTTAAGAATGCTTCGGGAAGTTGTTCTCTCCACAGTTCTGGCCTTGCATCAATTTGAAAACTTCTAAATTAATCATCTTTATACAAAGATAATTTGATGAATGATTAAATGAGACCAGAATAATAATATTTAAAAAGTACAAATTGTCTCTGTAAATACTTTTCGTTGTCTAATAAACACTTTTGTTTGATTTTGCTTCCAATTATTTCAAGATCACAAAATCTTGCCGTTATTTTTCTACTTTAGGTTAAGTTAAAATTAAACATGAAAAGCTTGTCAAATAATTGGAGTGGTGTAGCTTTGTGCCAGGTTCTAGACAAGTATGTGAAATGTTTACCCACTTCCAATTTATCAGTGTATAAAGTATTTAAGTAAAAGTTGTTTACGAGTGCATACGTGTCACAAAAGGAACAGTTTTTTTTTTTTTTAATGTTCATATTTCCAATATCAGTAGAGAAGAAGGTGGTATTATGGAACCACCCCATTTCGAACTGATAATAAAGGCGAACTGTAGCGGAATGTGGCTGAACTGAACTAGGCAGACATCCATAGCAAGGGGAAAACCCGTTTTACTTCGGTTAAACGGTTGTCCGCATTTAATCAGCAAATTTGTTTTTTTCAAAATTCGCAAGTTTTGAATGCTAAGTGAATTTAATTATTTTTAAAATATAAATCGTGTAGTTGTAGGTTCACTGGTGCACGTATTCCGTTCCAGAGACTTAGGGGTACATATCAATCTGTGTGATGTTCACGTTTTTTAAATTTTGGTCTTGACAGACATAAGTTAATTCAAGATGGCGATGGGTGAAATACGGACCCCATTGGTGCTTTTACAGTAATATAGAATTCAACTCATCCGAACTTTCTATTTGCAAGCAGACATTTCTCCAGAGCAATCTGTGAAAAAGACACTAGGTAGAAAGCCAATTTTTCCCGAGAATATCGAAAAAGAGCTACTGGAATATATATTGTTGACGTAGGTCATATTTTTCTATTATAGAAGCATTTTTGCGATAAAATACATTGGAGTAAATAATTTGGTAATTATTTAACATTTTTTGTCCTTTCCTATTTGTTTTTGGCTACATGAAAGCATTTTTTGAAAATATACGGTAAGGTTCCATATTACCACCCGATTTTCTCTAAGCCTACTTTCGGACTTTTTGTACAAAAGCCTTCAAAAACCATATTTATAATTTCACTAGCGAAAAATCCAATTAGGAACATTTAGTTTAATAGTTACCGGTACTTTTCACAAAAAAAATGTGGGTGTAGTTATGATACCTTGTTTACAATTCATTAAAATGTAATTGGGGTTCCATAATACCACCTTCTCCTCTATATATTGTTCTATCAGAGACAGTATACGTGGCATATATAATTAAAATACTGGGTATATATACAGTTTATTATTTATCTTTGCAACTGTAAAAATATCATTTTAATCGAATTCTAAATAGCAAACGGATTGGTCACTTTAAATGACACAAAAATTACGACAACACGTATATACTAGTAAATTAATTAATTATTAATTCATCAAGAAACGACAAAGAAAGATGAAACTTGTTATGAACGGTAGGGTGGACAGAGGTCGGTTTAGACAGAGTTCGAATGTCCAGTTTCCAAGGCAATTTACTTCAAGGGGTGAGAAATGTGTTCGATATTCTTGCATTTATACAGCATAATATCATTTATGATCTAAGCGACTAATAAAAATCGATATAGGGATTTGTCTGCTTTTTAATTATGAAGTAGGTATGGAGGGATAGCCGGGCGGTAACCCCTTCTTCGGTAAAGGAAACTTGGAAAAATTGGGACAAGAGGGGAAGGGGGAGTAAAAATTTGAAGAAAAATGCGGACGTAATTTATGGAGATAAAATCACAAAACAATTTTTCGCCGTGATATTGGAATCAAACTATAGGAACCCGTGTTATAGGGGTCTACTGTATATCAAAAATGTAACAAATAGTATAAATAGGGTTCGCGTGATAGGGCGCGAATTCTTTCCCTATCTGGTGTCGGGAATCCTGACTGCAGATCGGGATTTTACCATCATTGATCTCGAACATCTTTATAACCCATTCACAGACAACGTGGGCAAGATTTACCATCCTGTTGCCGAGTAAGTGGTAGAGGGAAGAGAACTTATCAGAAATCGCGGCCGCCGTTTGGTGCGCTGCTCTGTGATGAAAACAAAGTTAAGCAATGACGACATTGAACGGTGCACATTCGGTAAGTAATCCTACAATTTTTTGTTTGTGGCATAGTTTATACGGATTATTCCCAAAAAATTATACGTGTTTTGGAAATGTTGAGTTGAATTAGTCTAGAATCAATTAATTTTATAGAAGAAAACCTTTCAAACAGCCTTAGTCTGTAAACTTCACACGTGTCGGGCTGTGATTGGCTTGTGTATTTAAGGATTCCTACAACGTAAAATTCTTATAAAGTGGAACGTATCTAAGGGTGCGACTATGCAGACGCGAATTTAGAGCGAGCGAGAGGTTGCGAACGATTTAGTTTTCGCAAAGGAAAACCATGCACAAACGAAAAGCGAGAAATAACGCTAGCGGGAGCGAATTTCTGGTTCTCGCACAAATCTGACAGGTTTTGATATTTATCGCGTCTCGCCTCTTCTCGCCACATATTCTCGCTCGCTCGGAAAATTCGCTCGTTCGCGTCTGCATAGTCGCAGCCTAAGCGTTATAGGGGGGTCTACTGTATATATATATACGAATAACTCGTACTGTACAAGCAAAAAAAAAAAAAAGTCAACAGGTTGCGCACATTTCAATCGGTCCGAGTCGTAGGTGGACGACAATATGAAATAAAATGGTTCAAATTCTTACAAGACATTATTATTATTTATTGTGGAATTTTTCCGCCCCCTAAAAAGTGCCGCCCCACTACGCTACGCTACTGTGTATGATGGTGTACTTTCCACAACCCTTCCCACTTAAACTGTATGTAACATATAATTAACAAATGGCCTCTAAGTGCAATACAGAATTTGTATGAGGTAAACTTACACCTACATTTTAATTTTAAATATGTTATGATATTTAACTGTATTCTAAATTTTGTATGTATTTGCTTCATTATCAGATATTAAAGATTAGAAATTATTAGAAATATTTCCAAATTTTGTATGAAATTATTTCATCTTGAGATGTGGATATACACGTATTATGGGCACATTGCCCAGTAAAGCAGATTTAATACAGCTGGATAAGCAAACCAATGCCATTGGCTTGCTTTAATACAGCCAGCTCGGCCAGCTTTATTAAACCGTGATACTTTTTATGGGATGAATTTACACGAAGCGAAATTCTTCAAATATTTTAATAATATCGAGAAAAAATCTTACAAACTACCATAAATAACAAAAATCATCATCATCAATCTTTATTGATCACATATTTTTTTATCAATAGAACACATTTTAAATATATTAAAGCAAATAATATAATTTTTAAAAAATTTGTATATATGAACAATAAATTTGTGCTGTTACTTTGCAATAACCAGACAAAACAGTAAAATTAATTTAAAATATCAGATATGTCTTTTTTTCCGTTATTTATACATTATATAGTTTAATAAAATAAAATAAAATTTATCAAAACTTGATAATATATATTTATTTATTTATTTAATAACAATAACAATAAATATTAAAATTATATTTTAAAACTTTATTGCAATAAATTTCAACATTAATAAAATCTTTTGATATTTTCATTAATTGTTATTTACTATATTATTATTATTATTATTATTTATTATTTTTATTAATTTTATTTTAATATTTAAATTAATAAAGTAAAAATATTTTGTGGAGTTAAAATGGGAACAACGGTATAAAAAAATGAAGTAAAATTTCTTAAAATATTTTTACAAATGGTTTCTTTCCTGTCTTGCTCTTTAAAATTTCACAGAAAGTCACTTAATCTTTATTCTTTTCTTTTATAATTTGGAAAATAAAATCATATCTTTGTTTAAATTTTATTTCTTTTATAAAAAAATTAAAATTCTTTTCTTATGTTTAGAATATATCACTTTACTTTGTTTCATTTTTTTTGTCAGAAAAACTACCAAGAAAAATATGTTTCCTTATTTATATTGTTCACATGTAACTGTTTCTTATTAAGATTATATATTTATATATATATATAATTATATACAGTACATCAATAACATAATTATAAACTACATACTCAGCAGTTTTAATATAGTATAAGAAATAAAATTTTATAACTTACATATAACAACATATTTATAGGATGAATATAGCTTGATAACCATTTATTTTTCTCTTATAACTTAGTAATTTTGATGTCGATTCAGGATCGGCACGAAATTTGGAAGTCCAAAGTAGAATTCTGAAATATTTCAAAACAAAAGTGTAGATATTTATACATATTAATTAGAAAATGACAATTAGTATTATATAAAAGAAAAAAAGAAAGCAAACATATTTGTTCTTAAGCAATTTCTCATTTTTTTTTTGTTTTTTTTTGTTTTTGTTTTTGTTTTTACATTTATGCAGCTAAAGATATGATTCCGAAAACTCAAAATCTGAAGCTCTGGAACTACGAGCCATGGAGCAAGAAGTTCCAGTTACGTATCCAGAATCGGATACTGGATCAATAATAATTTCTTCTTTGGGCATTAGTCCATCTGCATATTGTGCAGGTAATGATATTCTTACTCTTTCTCCACCTGAAGGTAATACTTGAGCAGCTCTAAGTGCCTTCTTTTCTTGTAGTTTTTCGGTCATAAGTTTAATTTGCTCTTCTTTCTAAAAATAAAATTTTTAATGAAATATAATTAGTATTGATGTAAAAATTAAATTATATATAGATATTATCTTGTTTGAACTCACTTCACTTATTTGCTTCTTCAAATCATTATTTTCTTTTATGAGACGTTGGTGTCTTTCTTCTTCTTCTCTGCTATTTATTGTATCATTTAAACTTCTTGCATCGGCACGTTCTCTCGGTCTTCTTAACAATTCGACAATCTAAAAATTTATTAAATAATAACTTTTACAGATATAATTAATAAATAATATATATGATTTTTAATTTAACAATTTTAAATAATTAATTATCATTTGAACTCAGTAGAAATTTTATATACAACTGTCCCACTTGACACTAATTCTTTTTTTCAATAATTTGTTCAGTTATTGATGGCTGTAACTACAATAGATTTATTATGTTTAATGGTAGCCATTATCTATCTATCTTCTCAGCAATATTAGCTATTATATTAATTAATAAATAAACACATCTGATTTGTATTTGCTGAGTTAATTTTCTTTATTCTAACGTTTTCAGCCTATTTGTATAGGCCATCTTCAGGCTTTAACGTTGTTCGTTCCAAGGCTATTACATTCATTGTGCAAATATTGCTATCCTTATGACATTAAACTATTTATAAGCACTTCTTATTTATTGGATGCTAGTCTCTTACATTCTATTTGAATATAACTAGATACCAGTAAAGACTTGTCTTATTTGCATCTGTGCAAGACATTTTGGTACACTTCAGTTTTGCTAATTAATGTATAATCAGTGTAAATTTTGAATCCATTTTGCTCAGCACCTGTGCAGCCACATGGTTTGATTTTGAGGTACCTAAAGCTGGCATTGACTGAAATCTTTCTTTTGTTGTTGAAACTTGTGAGGTTTGTATCCAATTTACAATTCAGCAAACAAAAGAAAGATTCTAGTCATTGTCAAATAGATTATAATTCACTTCTATTAATATTTCAACTTACCTTAGTGGAAAATATTAATGCCATTGACAGAAAACAGCAAAATATAATTGCAAGTGCAACAAAAGCAAATGTAGCATTTTGTTGGCTACTAATGACCAATGTAACAGGAGCTGTGATCAGACAGAGAACCTGTTGAATTATAATTATTAATTTTAATATGGTAGATATGGCTAAGCATTAAATATTAATAAAATAAAACAAAAAGAAATTCATTACAAATATTTAATTTTAATTAAATCAAAATTCAACAAAACATTATTGAAAAATTATAATTTATGTAATTATTTAGAAAGTTAATTCTAAATTTTGAAAGACTTAACATAGGTTATAAGTGTTGCTTTGAATAACATACAAGTTTCTTTATAATAATATTCATAAAAAAGTTTAATAAGGACTTTATAAGAATCACTCAATAATTTGATTATCTACATTGGTAGAATTCTGAAAGTATGTAATGGGATAGCAATATGAAGAAAAGAGAATACTGAAACTGCATACTGAATGCTGTATACTGTCAGTTTCAGTAGTATAATTACAACCAATATTGGGGACCCAAATTGGAACATGCAAACCTGTGGATGAAGAGCAAACTCTTAGATATTGTATATAGATGTGTATAAATGCATTTGTCCCATTAAAATCTTTTTTCTTACTTATTTCATTTTTGTGTCATTTATTTATGTACAAAGATAAGGGGTCTCAGATCCCCTGGATCCTTCTATAAGATAGCAAGAGAGATTTTTATTTATTGTTATATTTAGTTACTTACACTATTTATTTTCCATTTTGTTTCAGTTATTTTGAGTTTTGGAGGTTGAGTNTTTGATGTCGATTCAGGATCGGCACGAAATTTGGAAGTCCAAAGTAGAATTCTGAAATATTTCAAAACAAAAGTGTAGATATTTATACATATTAATTAGAAAATGACAATTAGTATTATATAAAAGAAAAAAAGAAAGCAAACATATTTGTTCTTAAGCAATTTCTCATTTTTTTTTGTTTTTTTTTGTTTTTGTTTTTGTTTTTACATTTATGCAGCTAAAGATATGATTCCGAAAACTCAAAATCTGAAGCTCTGGAACTACGAGCCATGGAGCAAGAAGTTCCAGTTACGTATCCAGAATCGGATACTGGATCAATAATAATTTCTTCTTTGGGCATTAGTCCATCTGCATATTGTGCAGGTAATGATATTCTTACTCTTTCTCCACCTGAAGGTAATACTTGAGCAGCTCTAAGTGCCTTCTTTTCTTGTAGTTTTTCGGTCATAAGTTTAATTTGCTCTTCTTTCTAAAAATAAAATTTTTAATGAAATATAATTAGTATTGATGTAAAAATTAAATTATATATAGATATTATCTTGTTTGAACTCACTTCACTTATTTGCTTCTTCAAATCATTATTTTCTTTTATGAGACGTTGGTGTCTTTCTTCTTCTTCTCTGCTATTTATTGTATCATTTAAACTTCTTGCATCGGCACGTTCTCTCGGTCTTCTTAACAATTCGACAATCTAAAAATTTATTAAATAATAACTTTTACAGATATAATTAATAAATAATATATATGATTTTTAATTTAACAATTTTAAATAATTAATTATCATTTGAACTCAGTAGAAATTTTATATACAACTGTCCCACTTGACACTAATTCTTTTTTTCAATAATTTGTTCAGTTATTGATGGCTGTAACTACAATAGATTTATTATGTTTAATGGTAGCCATTATCTATCTATCTTCTCAGCAATATTAGCTATTATATTAATTAATAAATAAACACATCTGATTTGTATTTGCTGAGTTAATTTTCTTTATTCTAACGTTTTCAGCCTATTTGTATAGGCCATCTTCAGGCTTTAACATTGTTCGTTCCAAGGCTATTACATTCATTGTGCAAATATTGCTATCCTTATGACATTAAACTATTTATAAGCACTTCTTATTTATTGGATGCTAGTCTCTTACATTCTATTTGAATATAACTAGATACCAGTAAAGACTTGTCTTATTTGCATCTGTGCAAGACATTTTGGTACACTTCAGTTTTGCTAATTAATGTATAATCAGTGTAAATTTTGAATCCATTTTGCTCAGCACCTGTGCAGCCACATGGTTTGATTTTGAGGTACCTAAAGCTGGCATTGACTGAAATCTTTCTTTTGTTGTTGAAACTTGTGAGGTTTGTATCCAATTTACAATTCAGCAAACAAAAGAAAGATTCTAGTCATTGTCAAATAGATTATAATTCACTTCTATTAATATTTCAACTTACCTTAGTGGAAAATATTAATGCCATTGACAGAAAACAGCAAAATATAATTGCAAGTGCAACAAAAGCAAATGTAGCATTTTGTTGGCTACTAATGACCAATGTAACAGGAGCTGTGATCAGACAGAGAACCTGTTGAATTATAATTATTAATTTTAATATGGTAGATATGGCTAAGCATTAAATATTAATAAAATAAAACAAAAAGAAATTCATTACAAATATTTAATTTTAATTAAATCAAAATTCAACAAAACATTATTGAAAAATTATAATTTATGTAATTATTTAGAAAGTTAATTCTAAATTTTGAAAGACTTAACATAGGTTATAAGTGTTGCTTTGAATAACATACAAGTTTCTTTATAATAATATTCATAAAAAAGTTTAATAAGGACTTTATAAGAATCACTCAATAATTTGATTATCTACATTGGCAGAATTCTGAAAGTATGTAATGGGATAGCAATATGAAGAAAAGAGAATACTGAAACTGCATACTGAATGCTGTATACTGTCAGTTTCAGTAGTATAATTACAACCAATATTGGGGTCCCAAATTGGAACATGCAAACCTGTGGATGAAGAGCAAACTCTTAGATATTGTATATAGATGTGTATAAATGCATTTGTCCCATTAAAATCTTTTTTCTTACTTATTTCATTTTTGTGTCATTTATTTATGTACAAAGATAAGGGGTCTCAGATCCCCTGGATCCTTCTATAAGATAGCAAGAGAGATTTTTATTTATTGTTATATTTAGTTACTTACACTATTTATTTTCCATTTTGTTTCAGTTATTTTGAGTTTTGGAGGTTGAGTAATGTTAAACCTCAACTGCTATCTCAACACTTCCTTGCTACATTTTCATAATTTCATACTAACATTTGCATAATGGATGGAATTGAATCCCACTTATTTAGGGTTTAAACATGATTAAAATATTAAATATTGTATAATATTTTTGTTACCAGATATTTGTAGAAACACTGGTTTGGAAGCAGAAGCATATTAGTTTTTCATAAGCATGTTCAATACACAAATTAACATTATATAAATCACAATTGACAAACTGATACAGCAAGCTGAAGGTGGTGTGCTGTGATCCACACTTGTGAGCTTTGGTGAGGAGTGTTGTCATGTCTTTGAATCTTGTGAATGTCTGCTTGATATTCATGAAAGTTCTGCATGCATCACTTTTACAGGAGTATTAAGGTTGCTGCAAACTTGGCAACACTGTCGCTTTTGATGTGACATCAGATGTAATTTTTATGGTCACATGACTGTTTTCCTTTGATGATAAGGCAATGTCACCACTTGTAATATCATTCACAATGTACTGTACTTCTACAAAACCAATGAACATTTTGCCTACCCCTCTATGAACTAGTGCTCGATAGTTCATTTTGTAAAATGATGACAACCTACAATATTAGCTTCAGCTGTTTGTTTGGCAGAAATTTAATAAATAAATGAAAACAAAATTGGGGAACCTGATATATTTATAAATTTCAATAAAATCAATGAAATAATTTATATTCTTACATTTATGAAAAGCTATCAAACAGATTTCTGTTTTGTAATTCCAACATAGTGAAGACATGGCCAAAATGTGACAAAGATCACAGCACAAATGCATGCCTGAAAGTTTCGAGGAAGTGCACCTTTCTCATAAAATTTCAAATGTGCACGAGCATTGCTGATCATTGCCTAAAAAATTCAATTTCTTGAATCTGAGAGGAGTCAAACAGCTCACCTAACTTCTTATTGAAGGGCATGACATACAGTGATGTCGAGTTGAAGATTGGACAATCAGGTTGTTCAAGAGATGATTAAACAAATTTTGTTCAATGTCGCCTTAGACCAGTTTGCTTCAAAATTACCTAGTTTGCAATGGCCTTTAGCTCCACTAGACATGCAGTCTAGTTAACTGTGGCGCTATTTGGAAGATAATTCATTGGCCATGACTTCCATATAATGATGCATAAGAAGATATAGCAAGCTGAACTTCACTTCTGCTAGTCAGTGTATATCTGTGGAATTGTAAGCTATTGATAATTGTGATTTACTTTGAGCTGATTTAAGGGCTTTTTCTTTTACTAGATTCTTTTCCCCAATTAGGTTAATTGTTTGAGATTGTAAATAATTGTAATTTTGTAAATTGTACTAGTTGAAAAGTCCAGTACCAGCATTTATAGTTTAATAAAGCTCTTTATTTTATGAACTCTGGTGCAAGACTCATTTCTTTGACATTTTGGACCTTACACTCTTCTGAACTATTGGACTGTTTCATTAGGTATCTATGTTCTATCAACAAGAGGAATTATATAAATATTTTATACCTCTAAAATACTGAATATATTCAGTTAGTTTAACAGTTATTATACATTGCTAGTTTCTTTAAGAATTTAAACATATTTTTTACTTAACATATTTAAGAACTTAAGAACATATTTTTTCTCATTAGTTATATCCTAATTTAACAATCAGAAAACTCTTAGCTGAGAAAAGTTTTGAGTGAACCTTATTAAATATTATTTAACAAAAAAAAAAAATAAGGCATTATATCAATAATTTGAATTTTAAATTAATACTTACCACCACATTATAAATACTCATTCCTACTAATCTCGAGTCATTCAATTGTTTAATCTTTATACTTCGAGTTTCATAAGCCAAAAATATTCCAAAAATGAGCAATAGTCCTTTATAACCATACATTAAACCTTTAAAGAAAATTTAAACACAATTAAAACATAAATATAAATTTCATATATATATATATTATATATATGAAATTTATGCTTTATAATTTGACAAAGTAACATACCTAACCATACAGCATTATTTTTTGATTGGCAATGTTCTAATAGAGGTAGTATTTTGATGTCTTCTTCCCCATCTTCAGGATCTTCTTCATTAAATTTTTCTATTTTTCTGTCTAATGGATCGATTGTTTGCCAAGTCACTAGTATAATGAAATCAATTAGAAGCAAAGCACCGACCAAGGCATACAATTTCCAACTTTCGACTTTCAAGGAAGGCTTTAAAATAAAATATAAATAAATGTTTACAAATTGTGATTTTTTTGAATAGTTAATAGAAATGCTTTTAAATTATTTATTTACAAACTTAATACAATATCAAGTAATATATTTAATAAGAAATTTTAAAGTTATTTTTTTATTATTTGTAAATGCATCAGCAAGAAATTAAAACAGGAAAAAATGTTTCAATATAAGAGTTATGCTAAATCTTGATAGTTTTGATAGTTTGATAAGATACATTAACAGAATACTTGGACAATCAGGCAAGGGTTTGCCTCCCAGAAGGACATTCTATGAGAAATTATCCCTAACCTAAGTATTAGATATGTAAAAAACAAAAAATGTAAAAAACTCTACATGGCCCACCTCAGATATAAATCTAAAATTCAAACTGCTTTTCTCAGAGTAAATAACATTTTAGAAAATCTAAGTAATCTTGTTGTAGTGTTGCCATCTTTTCAAAATCGCTGACCCAGACAGCAGTCAGGTTTGTTCAAACAGAAGTTCCTGACACATACGCAATGTCATTTTACAAAGAATAATGTGCATGTCAGTTCTAATCAGTTACAGTTAGGGACTAGAGGCTTACGTAGGCGTAACATAAGTAACCCTAAATTAAGAAAGAACAGGTACAGATGATTTAGCTCTATTGGATATTGGAGACGTGTATGATCATACACGCAAAAGAAAAAAAAGGTCGACAGGTTGTGTGCCACACGTTAGCATAAACAGACGAATATGGCAGAATTGTAGATGAGTTTCAGTGAGTGAGTTCTTTCGCTGTTAAAGTAGTGTAAATTTGTAAAAATATTTGCAAGAACTTTGTTTCATCATAATTTCACAATTTCTATGAAATTCCCGGACAAAATTAATAGTTCACCCGGACTGTCCGGGTGAAAACTGGATGGGTGGTAATGCTAGATCTTGGACTGATTAAAATATTAAATATTGTATAATATTTTTGTTACCAGATATTTGTAGAAACACTGGTTTGGAAGCAGAAGCATATTAGTTTTTCATAAGCATGTTCAATACANTTAAGAAAGAACAGGTACAGATGATTTAGCTCTATTGGATATTGGAGACGTGTATGATCATACACGCAAAAGAAAAAAAAGGTCGACAGGTTGTGTGCCACACGTTAGCATAAACAGACGAATATGGCAGAATTGTAGATGAGTTTCAGTGAGTGAGTTCTTTCGCTGTTAAAGTAGTGTAAATTTGTAAAAATATTTGCAAGAACTTTGTTTCATCATAATTTCACAATTTCTATGAAATTCCCGGACAAAATTAATAGTTCACCCGGACTGTCCGGGTGAAAACTGGATGGGTGGTAATGCTAGATCTTGGACTTTAGGAGTTGGTAAGATGATGGATATAATGTTAAGTTACGGTGTCAAGATCTCAAGCGTGCCACAGAATTTTGTCTCAGGAGAGAGGCAACCATATATGATTAAGATCAACTAATCAATCATTTCACTCGCTAAAATCATGTTCTTTAAACAAGTTTCTTTCTATAGAGCTGAAGGAGGGAAAAGCCATTTAGCCTAGAAAGAGGAGGTGACTGATATGATTATGTCCATGGTCTGTTTGTTTATAAAGATTTCATTTTCAATAGTTACCTAGTTATTTCTACTTTTCTAAGTTTTAAATTTACCTGAGTAAAGGTATGCTACCAGGGAGGAGGAAATATAATATCCTAGAGATAACCCTTTTCCCCATGGGAAAGTCTAGGTAGAAAGGGCATGATTCGTTATTATGTGTATTAAAACTGATATTACAGTATAAAAATTATAAAATGTTTTATTGTGGTGTCAGATAAAAATAATTCTCTAATGACAAACTACTTGATTCAATACTTACTTTGCTTTCTTGTTTTGATCGAGTGGTAAGACGATGAACTCTCCAAATTTTGGAAAACATAGCACCATATGAAAGAGTGAATCCAATTGTTAAAAGCCAAGCTCTTGCCTATGATATCAAAAATACTATTAGTTTTAGTTTTTATTAATATATTAGGCTTTATTTAGATAAATATAAATCTTCTTTTATATAAAAATATAAATAGTTAGTCAAAAAGCATTCAGACTGAGTTTATAAAACAGAAACTAATTAATTTATAATGATGAAAGAATAATCTTCTTTATAGAAGTCCTTGTCTGTTCTTACTTCATCATTTTTTCTGTTGTCGGCATAACTTCTCAAATTTGGTTTTTGATGTAGCAGCTTGCACTTGATAATTTGCACATCATCAGATCCTTTGATTTTCAAATAAAATTGTTGAATCAAGTAATCAAAAAGTAAGAAATTGTTCACTTGCAGAACTTCATGTGTATCAGCCTGCCAGACAGAACAAGTTAGTGCAATTTTTAGGATGAAATTTCACATGGAATCTTCTCATTTCTCTATTGTTTATGAAGACTGCTTGTTTACAAGTACTACATTTCTAATAAAAAATTATATCACCTGTAAATAACTATCTCAGTTAATAATTACTGGGACTTTACATTGCAAAAATTATTATTTTGTTTCTGAGTTAGATTAATTATTGCATTTGTGTTTCAACCACACAATGATGATCTTGATGTTCCATTAGAATCTTCTGCTCCCAGCTAGTAGTTATAGAAAAAATTTAGATCTAGGGCATCATTAAAGCATCACAAAATTAGATCTGGGATAACACTAATTACTTCTGTAAAGTCTATACTCTAAAAAAGTTTAGCTTTAGCCTTAAAAATGAGAAATTGTCTATTGTTTTAATATTACAGTATATTTCATAAATCTTGGATGAGCACTGTACATTACCTGAAAGGAGTACAGTCATGTTTACAGAAAGCCTAAGATGTGTTTTGTAACCTATTAAATTCATAATTTCACATATTAATATACATATACCTTTGCACTGTGCATACAGCAGCCCAACCAAGATTTGTGAAATGTACTGTGTATGCAATAAGGAAATGTTTCAAAAATCGACAGTCAGAAATACATAAAACTTTCTTCACTATTTTAGTTTATTATAGCAAAAAGTAACCCATATTATATCTATTTATTAATACATAACTTTTATTTATGTAATACATTGATGACTTTGAATGTAGCTTATATTAAATTACATGCATTATATGACAATTGTACAATCATTTCATATTTGATCATAGTCAATATGCCTCATTGAATATTATATTAATAAGATTATTGATATAATTCAACAATATTACTATATTAAGATAAATTTTTTGCTTTTTTATTAGATTTTTCTTAGTTACTTGTAAATAAAAAACTTATAGAAGCTGAAAGTGGAATTAGAATTATGTCAAAACCTATAAAAGATTTTTCTGAAGCATCTTAAAATAGTAACAAACTTATATTAAGTTTATTTATGTAATTTGCTCTAGCTTATTAAATTTAACTTATTAGTTCTATATTTATAAAAATATTTCACTTAGTTAGTTATTCTGTTCTGTATTTCTGTACTTAATTATAATTAGTTGAATGAGAAGATAATAATGAAAAGCTAAAATATTTATTCACATTAAAAAGAAATATCTATAATATACAGACAACAGTCTGGGAAAACTGGAAACAGGAATGTTGAGATAACCCTGCAATGAATAACAGTGTGAGTGGATAATTAGTAATATAACAAAGGCTATAGGAAACAATAAGTTTATTCACAAAAAAACATTGCGACTCAAGGTGTCATAGTATCCACAAGTAAACAATTTTACTGGTATAATGTAAAAAATTGCTTATCAATGATACAAACAAATTTATGTCAACTCAAACCATTACTAGCACTGTTAACCAAATACCTGAGATTACACAAGCTCATGTGTATCAATAAATGGATTCATTTATTTAGCACTTGTCTTTGCCAAAATTTCCTTTTTGAAACTCTACAGTATTGTGAGATCCAGAAGGGGGAAAGGCAATTTTTAAAAAAATTAGCAAGAAAAGAATATTTTAAACTTCAACGAATTTTACAAAAATGGATGTCAAAAGAAACTTTTGATTTTAGAAAGGAAGTTGTTTTCCTTTCCATGGCTGACTCATGAGATGAGTCAAGCTTTTGCACATGTTATTTGGCTGTCAGAGAAAACCGATATAAAAGGGACATTTTCCCGCCATTCAAAGCAGTCCGTCAAAAGAGGTATTGCCACACGACTCCTGGAAAGTCATTGAAAGAATTAGCCATATGATATAGACGAAAGACCGTCATTCAGAAAGTTTGTCATACGAGTTAGATAATTGAAAGTTATACTACAGAGTCCTACACACAAAGTATAGAGTCAGTTTATGACAAGATCGTCATAAGAAGAAGAATATCCATAATTACAGAAGATTCTCATACATTGAAATATTGAAAGATCTGAGAAGGTAATATGATAACGGTTAGATCAATGTAAACTTTCTCTCTTGTGTCAGGTTAAAATAAGATTAGGTTTAAGTTAGTTATTTAGACTTAGGTTTAAGTACGATTTGTTATTCATTCATTTGTATACTTTTGATATTTTTGATTTATTAAATGTTTTGGTTTATTTTATAAGTATGGTCTGGTTAATGTTAGATATTCACACTTATACTTATTCAGGTTACTTGCGTTCTTCATACTTGAAACTCCTTGATAACGTGTGTTAATCCACGTGTAATAAAACTGTGTCAAAAATCCTGAAAACGATATACACTGCGAAGTCTAATCCACATCTTTCTAAAAAGCCTCCTTAAAAGTTTAGAGATCAAATATCGTGATTTTGAGCCAATTAAGTGGTGCTCTAGCTTGTACCCCCAGCTAATCTCACAGTATTGACCATATATTAAAATCTTTCCTGTTTCACAAAATCTTCTTTATTCTTTCTTCTGAACATCTTATCAATTTTTATATATTTTGTAAATTTTATATCTTGTTCATAAGTTTTAATTATGTTAATAAGTTTTAATTATGTATATTGTTTTTGTGTATTTTATTACTATTCTTTTTATGAAGTGTACCACTTGTTTTGTTGGCGTAGTTTTCACGTGCTATATAGCATTACTTTTTAGACATAAACAAATAAATTACCCTCCTCCTAGGTGAGGTGTTATATCAAAATAGCCTGACACACACAAGAAAAAAACAACAACAAATTATCTGGCACAATTTTGCTTTTTACCATCTTGGGGAGTTCCAGTAATCCCCTTTACATCCAGCTTCCCCTTTGTGACTTCTTTCTTTGTGAAATAATGAAACGCTGACAAGAACAAAAGCAACATCTACCAAACAAGAGGCCAATATACAAACACAAATAAATTTTTAAAAAAGTAAAATATAACAACATGTTCACATATTTCAATATGTGAACATGTTGTTATATTTTACTTTTTTACACAATTTATATCTTTATTTATACAAAAAAGGTGCCAAGTTATATGTATTAATGTATTAGTTCAAACTAATACATAAAACTTAGCACATTTATTGGAAACATATACAGTAGAGCGTCGATTTTCCGAATCAATTGGGGACTGGGGTTGTCCGGATAACTGATATTTTGGATAACTGATTTACGTACGAAAAAATAGTTTAATGTATCCGATGTCAAAATTTTTATCCGTTGCGTGTCGCTTCGCGTTGAATTTTCGTCGATGTTAAGCCTAACAAAGACTATTGTATTGTTAAAAATTATTTTTTTATTTTGTACAAACAAAATAAATATATTGAAAAATATAAAAACAATAAAAAATTATACTTCAGATGTTAATTTAGTATCAAAAACGTAAAATATTTGAGTAACCCAAGACATAGCCAAAGATTGAAGCGCCACAGCACTGGCGAAAATTTAAATTTGCCGACTGGAATTCTTTCGGATGATTGACTTTCGGAAAATCGACGCTCTACTATATATTATACTACTTGATTCTGATAATCAAAAGAAGTTTAATAACTGAAATATTTTAAGTGCAGTGCAGTACATTATCTGAATACTGATCAATCAAAACATTGGTTAACTGAAAGCGTTCCAGTCAGCAAATTCAAATTTCTGCTAGTGCTGTGGCATTGCAGCACTCTCCCTCTCCCTGCCAACCTAAACTGTAGCCCTAGTTTAATGTACTACATTATGTAAGGTATGTATTTGTAAGACATGTGACACAAATTATATACAGTACAGTTTTGTGTATAATATATTTTTTCATAAATGATCAGTTATCCGAAAAATCAGTTATCCAAATAACCCCAGTCTTGAATTGTTTCAGATAATTGATGCTCTACTGTATTAAACCATCTTCAGCTAACATTCAAAGAATTGAACGCATGATAATTTAGAACTTCAAAAATATATTAAGAATGCTGATTTTGCAGATAATCATAAAGCTTTGATAGAAAGATGGCTGAACTTAAAACATTTCTTAGTTATTAAATATAGTTTCTCTCAATACAAAGACCAAGTAATTTAAATGTATATTTATGTGCAGTTGAATATTCTAATAGTTACAAGGTAATACATTACAGTCGAACCTGTCTATAACAGAACCTGTATATAGCAAAAACCTGTCATTAATGGAAAATTTCTTTGTCCTTGAATTTTTTGCAAAAAATAATATAAATTAACGTATATAGTGGAACATGTCTACCAGTGGCGTACCGTGACATTTGATGATAGGGAAACTGTTTCTGTAAGAAACTGACTTACAGGGGCAATCAGTAAATTGCGTGTCAGGGTCCATTCATATTCGTTTGTTCAATAAGCCAGTAAAAACCATACACTTTTTTAAATGTATTTTTAATAGATTATATGACATACTTAATAAATAAGCAAGTTCAATGTAATTACCTAAGTTATTAGATTCAATAGATTCCCTATGTCCTCTAAATGCCAGTTCTTGCTTTGAGAAAAAACATATAACATCTATTAATTTAAATATAATATATCTATTAGCCGTAACTATCTCGTTATAATTTTCAATATTTATTTTATATTATTTACTAATGTTAAATTCTATTCTGCTTTGATTTCCAAATTGTTTCAATTTTACGAAAGAATCAATGATTTTTCGTGTCTTTTGCCAGCTTTACTCAAATTATTTAAATCATCAAATATTATTAAATCATCAAACATTAGTAAATAATTTTATATTATTTACTAATGTTAAATTCTATTCTGCTTTGATTTCCAAATTGTTTCAATTTTACGAAAGAATCAATGATTTTTCGTGTCTTTTGCCAGCTTTACTCAAATTATTTAAATCATCAAAGCCATTCTTATTCCACACACTAATTTTATTTAAAAATAGTAGGCAATTTTTGCATTTCCATGCATCCACAAAGCCATTTTATGTCTTCATAAATTTTATTGTGAAAATGTCAAACAAATTTTTTTATTGAAGTATTTATATTTAATTTAGGCATTGGTCTTTTTCTTTTAATAATGTTTTTTTTTTCTTTTCATTATATGGTCTTGAGCCAAAACTTTTTAAAATAAATTTTCAATATCATAATTACATTTGAATAGCTAGCCATGATATAATGGCTAAAATTAGAAATAAAATTATAAAAACTTACTCAGTGAAATAAAATGTGTGATGGATATATATACCTTGTACAAAATATTCTTCAATTGTATGAATATACTTTTAAAAAAAATTATAATTAAATATAGCTTAAGAAACATACATAAAAATAACAAAATATTCTTTACTTTTTAAATCTTAAAACAATCCACTTAGTCAAATAGCTCCCTATGAGTGGCTAGTGAATGGAATCAGAGACATCCTGATAGGTGTGCAGTGCGTGCATGCATACAAGATGCCAAATCCTAAGGATGCTGATACTGGTCAATGTCAAATGCCTCTTTTGACACATCACTAATATACCTCAAAGGATGCAACAGGGTTGTTGTAAAGTTTAAACGTTTCTCACCATAGCTGTAAAAATCTATATATGTTAAACTTAATATATTGTCCGTCATTTGTTTTGTAACTAATTGGTTTTAGGACCAAGTGTCCACGGAAATTTCCAAAATTTACAACTTTTAGGTCACTCTCATTGAACTGGAAAAATTTCTGTACTTATTACATTTAATATTATGAAGAAGTCAGTCCTCACTGTACTTGGCTAGTGATTGGTTCAGTAAAGCTTTTGTTTAAGTAAAATTTCGGCTCTTCCATCAAGGTTTTATTTAGGTCTCTAATTCCATAATCTCTTAATTATTTAACTATTTCTTAAGTAGAAATAAGTTGAAACCGGTTACTTTGTATTTGAATATTTGTAGTCTTGGGAAAGAAGTGGAAAGACAAATTTTTATGACAATGATACATAAATTGTAAATTTAAGGAATATAAATTCTAGGGCTTTTTTTTTACCTTGTGCATCTCATTCATTAAATTTAGTTTTAAATGATGCTGCCAAAGTAACAGTTAATTTTTTAACATTGTACAAGAATTGTATGCGTTTTTTTCTGCATCCTCTTATAGATGGAACATACTAAATTGTAATATCACTAGTTTAACATTGAAATTGGGAAGTAATACAAGATGGGGAGCAGAATAAAAGCAGAATAAATATATCAAATATTTTAATGGATTTTTTTAAAACTCCTGTAAAAACATACCAGTAAACTCCTATCGGTTGGATTAAGTTATAAATCTACTCATGACTCACATAATGGGGTGAGGGTGGCCAAATATCTAGCAGGCAGGCGGCTAACAGCCCAGAACCAGTCCAGGATAGAATTGTTGGAAGCATTGTGTGTGTAACTTCCACCATGAAGTTGGTGCTCTGTAAAGCGCATGCGCAAATGCCTGTATTCGATAATACAACACTTCAATTCCGCCACTGACATTCGAATGTACAATAGCAATCTTATCATTTTTTTTTTTTCACATATAGAAATTTGTAATAAGATACATAATGCAGTTATAATAAAATATTAATTTTAATTAATTCAAAGTACGTTAAAATTTGAAAATGTTATTACAATATGTTTTTATATTTTAGAAAATACAAGGGAAGTGGCACTTCCACCGCTTCCAAGGATGGCACGCCGTTGATGTCTACTATGGAAGAGTTGTTAGGTCCCTTGGGGTTCCATTATAGACAGGTTTGACTATTAATTTAGTTTAATGTTAAAATATTATTTATCTATCTCTTAAACTATTCAAAATATAATCAATTGTCATGATTAGTAATGTTTGAAATCTTGTATGGATGTAATGTACAGTACAGTATATTTGATGTAATTGGTATTTACTCAATTTTTTTAAATTTTAATTATTAAAGTTAAAAATAAAAACTTTAATATGTGAAATAACTAAACTCATATAGTCAATATTATTTTATAACTAACCTGACACAAATAATGATATCGTTTTTCACTAACAAATTGATTGTCTAATCCCAATAAACATACACAGAGTAGACAAAGGATTGTCCCTACCAACATGATGTTATTACACATGGGATGAGATAACTGGATATATCTAGAAAAAATTAATTTTAATTGATTAAAATAAATATTTACTTTCTTTTAGTCTAAAAATCTAATCAAAATTTTAATTTATATGTTTCAAAAATACAAATATTAAACAAGCACATTGCAAATATTAAATAATTAAAAATAAATAGATAAATGACTCTCATACATCTACAAAGTGTTTGAAAGCATTATATATACCATTAAATAGCATCATTGATTCTAAGTTGTTGGCATTAGAATAGAAGTGATAGTGCAGCTAATACCATGCTTTAATTATGTTTATCATCTATAGATCACTCCCAGATACCTGAGTATTTGGGTCCAATCCAAACAGAATTAAAACCGATGACCAATTATTCATTGTGACATAGTCACAATGCCAAGCTGCAAGTTTTTTTAGATCTCAATGCACAATGCTCTTGATTTGCAGTGTCTTGCTCCTGTATATCATACTTTTCCTGTAAGATGATGGCATGACTCTCATGTTATCTAACTCTATTTTTGAGAAAATTTTTGAATTGAAATAACACAATTTTCAGTCCAAACTGGAAGTTTTTATATGGTTAATTGGGGCCTCCAGCTCTTAAGCTTTCTATTTCTGGTCTCAACATTCATCTACCTAACTCTGTTCTCGAGATTAAGGAATGACAGATGAACAGACAAATAGATAGTCACCAATGGGAATTTATAGGTCTGCAATTTTTAAATTGTAGACCTATAAATTGGGCTCCTTTTAATCAATTACACCAAACATCCAATTAAAACGAGGCCAGATAGAACAACAGTAAAGAAACATAAATCTAATGAGATGTAAACCCACAAAAGAAGCAAGACAGAAAAATTTATGCATTGAGATCTTTGACAATCTTTGGAAATTTATAGACATTGTGAAAAATTATGACAGCTTTTCTTGATCTATTTGGAAAGAAATCTGTATTCACTTTGTCTACATTATTAATACTACAATTTAAATTAGTAAAAAGTAAATTATAATAGAATTATATAACTCTCATTTATCATAAACATTTATTACTTATGATAAATGATTTAAAAAAATATATTTTTTTAAATCATTTATCATAAGTAATAAATGTTTATGATAAATGAGAGTTAAATCCACTCAGATGTATATGACTCCTTCAAATAAAGTAAAAAACAAACACACTAAAATATTAAGGATTCCTTATATATTTAACATTTAATCATGATTAAAATATACAAAGATTCCTTAATATTTTAGTGATTTTTAGGTTTATAGTAATTTAAGTCAAAGTACAGGGTGGTTATAATTAAAGTTGCCCTACTCAGACCTGTATAGAGCCCATTCTCTTTGCTGTATTTTGATGAAACTTGGTATATATGTTATACGGATCATGGGGTAAAGGAAAATGCAAAAAAATAATTAGTTCAAATTTTTACCACTAGGTGAAAAATGGGACATGAAAAACAAGAAACAAAATGGAAACAAGCAAAAGGTTTTTATTCACAACATTTGTTCAATGTGCAATCCATTTGCGGCAATCACATGTTCAAAGCACCTTACAGCATGTTCAGCAATAGCCCAACAGGTTTCTTGAGAAATTGCAGCAATATGGTGTGTTATGCTTGCTTTCAATTGAGGTAGAGTCCATATGGTTGTGAGGATACCTGAAAGATCGTGTCTGTACAGAAGGCATACGAACTCTGCCTGAATTGAAAGTAAGCATAACACACCAAATTGCTGCAATTTCTCAAGAAAACTATTGGGCTACTGTTGAACACACTGTAAGGAACTTTGAACATGTGATTGACACAAATGGATTGCACACTGAACAAATGTCGTGAATAAAAACCTTTTGCTTGTTTCCATTTTGTGTTTGCTTGTTTTGTTTCCATTTTGTTCTTCATGTTCCATTTTTTCACCTAGTGGTAAAAAATTTGAACTAATTATTTTTTTATATTTTCCTTTTCCCCATGGTCCACATAACGTATGTACAAAGTTTCATCAAAATACAAAATACATCAACAAGAACAGACTCTATACAGATCTGAATAGGGGCAACTTTAATTATAACCACCCTGTATGTGTAAAATCTTTTATATCTTCTCCTTATGTAGTAAATACATAATGTCTTATATAGTAAATACAAAATTAAATAAATAATTTATTTAATTCTGTATCATGATTATCTATGCATTAATATATTTTGTTATAAGTACATCAAGGCCTCACTTAACAACATTGATAGGTTTTTCAGGAAACTACATTATGGAAAAATGATGTATAACAAAATAGATTTTACCAGATGCTAAACAATATAAAACAGATATAATTCAGTTAATATTATTCTGATTGGTTCATATTTATTTCCTGCCTCATAGAATCAATTTTACTGTTTACAAAGAAAATCAAATAATAATAATTGTAAATTATTACAAATGTACTTGTATCTTTCCTCAACAACATTATAAGGAAATGACATTAAGTGAGTACTTGTTTTAATGTATTGAACTGAGGAAAATGTACTAAAAGATAAAACTTAATATTCCAGAAAAAGTCATCATATTTGATTTTAAATTGCAAAGTCTTATTGTTAAGATAATTCAGAAAATAAAAATGATCATAAGGAAATAAATAAATAAAAACTAAATGTAAATTTATTAAGTTAATGATGTTCATTTTCTAAATGTTTATTTTCAAACACAAAATATTTTTTAAAAATATTTAAATATAGTTTAAAATAAATTTTTGATTAGAAAGCTTATTTTAAATACATTCTGATATTTATTATTAAGTTAACACCAAACATCTGATTTGTGGTAAGAAAATTGTACAAAATTTTTGTCTTTATTAGCTTATTTATCAAAATTTACTGCCAAAATGGATCATTTAGTGACAGGGATATGTTTCAAGAAATACATGATTAAATGTCTTCACTGTTGAGCAAACATTGTAGTTGAACCTATGGCACATGTGCCCAAAGTGACACATCAGTAGAAGTTGTGGGGCATGTAACATATCATGTGATTTCGATTTATCATCTGTCCTTTTCAAGCATCTTTTTGGGTTTATCACCTGATCATCCTTTTTTTCAATTAGCTTCTTTACATTTATTCTAATTAAAGTATATTTGTTTCATTTCATTGAATATCATTATTCAAAGTCTAAAACTTCTGCATACAAATATTTTTTATTTTTTTTAAAGATAAGTATGCTTGCTATATGGCATATGGGCTCAAAATGGTTCACCATACCCTGTCAGAGAGTATACTTAGACAAACCTATACAGTATAAGTCTACTAATCATATAGGCTATGTGTAACACAACAATAAGTATTTATGTATCTAAACTTATCTAAATATAGAAAAGATACAGATAGCCATAAATTTTTTAATTTTATTATAATTTTATGGTACTTTCTGTCATATGTTTAGTGTATTTTTAAGCAGTGCATACCTGTTCTCAGCATTATGAAAATTTGAAATATGAAATTTATCAATTCTTAAATATGCATCAAAATGTTTCATAAACAGATAACATTATATTTTTTGAAAATGCATACCTTGAATTTCTAAAGACCCAATTAAATACTAAAAGTCCTATAGCTATAATAATACCAAGGAAGGAAATGCAACACATAGCTAGAAACAAATTTAGATCAATTTTTCTATAAGCCTTTACAATTATTGTACGGTCTGGAGGAGGTTTGTTATCTGAAAAAAATAATTATGAATATATTGTAATAAAAGTTTATTAAATTTTAACATAATGTGAAAAGCAATTCAACAAATTATGAAAAAATATATTAAACAATTTCAGTTATAAATTATCTACAAACACCAAATTTTAATAAATACCTTGCCATTTTTCTGCTTTAAACCATGTAAGATTATCAGTTTGAGTATCATAAAATCCCAATAAATTATACTGTCCATCTAATAATATGAATGAAAGTAAGTTTAATAACATTTTTATTTTAATATATATCTAATTTTATTATTAAAAATATCTAATTTTAATACTTACTTATCATTTGTTCAATTTGAGTCCAAGCAATTCTATCACCCTTTGAAGAAAATGCTACATAGCCCTTTAAAAATAAGAAAATATGATGAGAAATATATTTAAAAAAATTTTTTTAACTAAATAAGAAATACTTGCTGAAACACCCAAAAACTGAGTGGAGTTCATGGCAGAGTATATAACATTGGCTATATCCTTGTTTGTATAATTAAAATCTTCTAAAGAAACTCCTGTATTCTTTAACTGATTGATGGTCTTATTCAGTGCCAAGGAAATTGCCCATATGGCATCATAGGCCAAAGGCGCTTCTTGGTGGCCTTCTGGTTTACGATCAGTATAACCAGATCTTTTCAGTTCCTCTTCATATTGTTTTAGAAAATCTTGAGAACTCTAGAAAGATTTAATTTAATAAATTAAGCATAATTGATATTTATATTGATATATTGAAATAATTTTAATGAAACAGTCAAAGGAACCACATTTTATAACAATTATTTAAGTTGAAATGCATTTTTGTAATATACAAAACTAATAACAAAAATGTACAAATCAGTTTAAAAACGAATATAAATAATGTAGATTAAAAATTGAAGAAACATTTATTACATTATTTTTTATATTATATTCATATTTTTTGAATTAATCAATGCACCTTTAACAGAGGTTGAAGTTTAAAGTGTGCTAACATTTTGACCCTGTTAACAGGCCATCTTCAGATGAAAGTGGAATGTTAATATTTAACATTCCACTTTCAACTGGATAAGGAAGGAAGACGGAACAGATTCTAATAGGCATTGGGGTCAATCTGTATAAATATTGGGAGATGGACCAATGAAAATGAATAAGAAAAATTTCTCCTTGTCAAGTTTTGAGTAGCTGTACAGTACAAAATAAGGTGTGTTTGTTGTGTACAGTACTTGTCTCTACTTTTTAATTTTGAAATATAGTATACAATAAAAATACATTGGGAGAGGGACAATTTGCCAATACAAAAATATTAGGTCCCCTTTGTCCCATATGACTGACAACCATGCTGATAAGGTAAACAAGTGGGGAAAGTAGACTAAGACTGCAACAGATGATGCAAAAGACTAAAGAGTTGTTGCAAGGCAGAGTTTCTTTGTCTGGCAATGTCTCTTTAATTCTTGTCTTTGCTGTTTATGCATTTATTAATTAATTCAGCTTCATAATCACAGTGGCTGTTTATCTTTATCCACAATATTTTCTTTTCATGGAATGAACAATATACATCAAAGCCATAGGAAAGGGGAAAATGCTCCAGCCCAAAACAATAATTATTTGATAATTATTTGTACTTAAATATTTAATATTTGTTAATAATATATTGTAGTATCATTAAAACTTGAACATAGTTTTATTTTAAGAACAAAAAATAATCTACTTCATATAAAACATTAATCCAACTCCTAATTTAATAAAAATATTTTAACATTGTTTCAGAAATCTTTATAGAAATTTTACAGTTTGAACTTTCACAAACACTTGAATTTTAATAAATTATTTTAAGCTCCTACTGAAGATAGTTCAGAATTTCAAGATTAAGAATATTCCAAACAAAGTATTGAATTATCATTAGGCTATTATAAAAAATAATCTGTAATTTTGTTTTTTATTTTAGCTGAACATTTATCAACACAAAACAAAATTGATCCAGATTAGGTAATATTCAGATCAGTGCAAGTTCATATCATTGAGAGTGCATTGTATTTGATTGTAATAGATCTGGCTATCAATCCTTCAAAGATATAAATTTCTAAACTTTAAAACAACAATTTATAACAGGGTGTAAAATTTTTACAAACTTATTTNCAGCGTAACAAATGGCCTACTTGGCTATCGTTCCAATGCATCTTCAACTCGTAACCCGGTAACAAATCTTCCTTCTTGTTAACATAATTGAGTGCCATCATAGCCGCAGGTAGGCATCCTTGTCCCCCTAACCAACCACCTGTACCTTTCATAGGAAAAACGGCGGCTATGTGCAGCTGCTTCTTCGTTTTCATCTTCTCCATCATGCAAAACTTCATCTCTGACATCACTAGAATTAAAACCGCCAATCGGGCCATACCTGGATGAGTTCCCATTACTAAAACGCTGTTCATCATGAGATGAGACTTCTCCGGTGTAAATGCATTGGGATGTTTATTTATTTAAATTTTTCTTCGGTTTTTTTTATCTACACTTCGCCCCTTTCCCTTGCAAGGTGATGAGTTTTAGATTCCGACATGAGACTCTCATGCTGACGTAACCGTTGCTATGGTTACTAACGATTGCGGCAATATGGCGGTAGGAGGAATCGATACCGGACGCTAAATCAATTCTTAGAAGAGATTGATTGGACTGAAACGATGAGGGCTTTTGTTATGTGACTTTTTCTACTCGTGCCTTTTCGAGATGGTACTTCACAGTTTTTCTCGGTTATTTTTTGAAAATAAAATAAATTATTAAATTATATGAGTATGCATAACCGATCGCAGCGCCATATTTGTTAGAGATTTACTCTAAACGACATTAATATGGATGTTTTCTTTCAATTTATGATTGAATAAAATTTAAAATACATTTATATCCGTAATAAATATTTTATATAATTTATTTGGTAATCAATAGATTATAATATAGATAAATTAATATCGTTATTTTGATATTAAAATGCTATCATGCTCTTGTTCTCACTGTTAATTTAATAATTTTATTACACACTTGTGTCCAACAAATAAGCAGAATTGGAGCAGAATCCATAAATAGAAGTCAAGGTATGGTCTACAGAATGATTCTTGTCAAATTAGAATCTGCAGGGAGCAGAAAACCCAATGCAGTTCCACAAACATCATGGAAAGTGACTATTCAGGTGGCGTTATCATGGTCTGGGGTAGCATGCATTATAATTAATAGCAGTACTGAGCTCAATGTTTCTGCAAGGAGTGCCAAGACTGCAAGAAGGTTTTTGGAACTCCACTCGGAATTTTTCATTTTCATGATAATGCTTGTGCACATAGACTGCATTCATCAATGACTTTCTTGACATTGAAGATATTCATTGCATAGAATGACCAGCAAGATCTCCACATTTAAATTCCATAGAACATGAATGTGGGATGCTCTAGGGAGTCTATGATAGGCATAGAGCATCCCACAGGCCTTCACGAAGAAAAATCCAGGCGTTTTAATATACTCTTGTTCAAAAATGAATTGTGTAGAGCTGATTTTATAACCAGCATAAGCAATCACTGTGCAGCATGTATACAGTATATGCAGGAATCAATCACAAGCTATATTAATAATTTTTTGTGCAAAAAAGATTCGGTCAATGCTTAGTACTTTTTCTTGTTTTGTTTTGATGTAATTTAGATTAAAAATTTTGTTTTTCAATTATTTTATTGTGTAAAGAATACAACAATCTGTCTGTATGTCAAATTCCACTGTTCTGATCAAAATAATTCCCAAAATATAGACCAAATTATGCATATTTTATGGACACGAATGTATACCGGTATATCAATTATACTAATCATAATATTTACAATATATTTATATAGATATAATGAATATTCTTACTGCAAGATTTTTAACAGCATCTGTGGGATCAGTGAGGAAACTTTGTTTGGTAAGAATTTCAATCTTAGCTTCTTTGCAACGCACTTCAAGATCATCTCCGGTCTAAATAAAATTAATTTTATAAAATTATTATTATTTTTCTGTTTATAAAACAAATTAAATATTTTCCTCCAATTTCGTTTCATCTAAACAGTAGCTTGGTAATAAATAAATAAATAAATAATCAAATAAGTACAGGATAAAGATCTGGAGGTGAGAAATGCATTTATACAAAAGTATAAACGATATCTAAGAGTTTACTCTTCATCCACAGTGGTGAAAGGTTAAATGTAGACTTGCAGGTTCTAACTATCCCCCTCTATATAACTCAGGTAAATACGAATTTATATACTGTACATATAAAATTCCCGTTAACATACAACCTTTAATAAAGCTTTTCTTTATATAAAATATTAAAAAATGAGTCATTTCTAAGTCTCACCGATATAAAAACTTCTTCAGCTTCTTGTATGATGGCTATTCTAGTCCATCCAAACTTCTGAAATAATTTAACACGAGTGGGATTATGTATAGTCGCTGAGGGATGAGTTCGAAAAAATGTCGGAAAACGTTCTCTATTCGATAAAGCCGGAGAACTGGACCCGTATGACACCTAAAAATAGATTTTTTTCACAAAATTAAACACCAAACAACAGCAGACGTCCCTATTTTTCCGAATAAATACGCGCGATTTCACGTTATATCACGCGCCGATTTTATATATATATAATTTGTATGGCTTATGTAGAGCGTTGTATGGCTTATGTGGCACGTTGTATGGCTTATATATAAACCATACAACGTGGATAACTGAATTTTATGTACATTATTTAAATACATTTTATGTGCACATGTATTTAATTTAAATACACTTCATATATAATACTTTACCACTATGAGATTCCACATCTTAGCGGCTTCTGCAACAGTCGAGCAGACAATGCTACAACCACCGAGGAATATTAACTTCTGCGGCGAGTTGTATAACAGATCATACATCACACTAGCGGCTTTACCGGGGTTACACTATTAAAAAAAACAGAGTAATTAATTAATAAAATGAATTATACAATCGAATGCAGCGTAACAAATGGCCTACTTGGCTATCGTTCCAATGCATCTTCAACTCGTAACCCGGTAACAAATCTTCCTTCTTGTTAACATAATTGAGTGCCATCATAGCCGCAGGTAGGCATCCTTGTCCCCCTAACCAACCACCTGTACCTTTCATAGGAAAAACGGCGGCTATGTGCAGCTGCTTCTTCGTTTTCATCTTCTCCATCATGCAAAACTTCATCTCTGACATCACTAGAATTAAAACCGCCAATCGGGCCATACCTGGATGAGTTCCCATTACTAAAACGCTGTTCATCATGAGATGAGACTTCTCCGGTGTAAATGCATTGGGATGTTTATTTATTTAAATTTTTCTTCGGTTTTTTTTATCTACACTTCGCCCCTTTCCCTTGCAAGGTGATGAGTTTTAGATTCCGACATGAGACTCTCATGCTGACGTAACCGTTGCTATGGTTACTAACGATTGCGGCAATATGGCGGTAGGAGGAATCGATACCGGACGCTAAATCAATTCTTAGAAGAGATTGATTGGACTGAAACGATGAGGGCTTTTGTTATGTGACTTTTTCTACTCGTGCCTTTTCGAGATGGTACTTCACAGTTTTTCTCGGTTATTTTTTGAAAATAAAATAAATTATTAAATTATATGAGTATGCATAACCGATCGCAGCGCCATATTTGTTAGAGATTTACTCTAAACGACATTAATATGGATGTTTTCTTTCAATTTATGATTGAATAAAATTTAAAATACATTTATATCCGTAATAAATATTTTATATAATTTATTTTAAATTTTAATAGTATTTTATTTAATGATTTTATCATTTTAGAAATAATCTTTTAACGTGATATAAAATGCCCTCTATCTTCCAAATTTAGCATTAAATCTAAATAATACAGTATTTTATATTTCTATATAAATATAAACACTTGTATTTGATTACGGTATTTTCGCACAAATAACAACAGCATGTCCCAGCTTGTTTTGCCTTATAAGAGCGCTGCACTGCTGTGTAAATGTAAATTGTAAATATACTAATACAGTAACTATTAATTAACTCTCTGTGGTAGCCATTATTAAAAATAAAAACACAAAACAAAAAATGCTTCCGATATCATAAAAATCTTTAAGAATAGTTTTTTTAAGGTATTTTGCTACATCTCATACTGGATCGCTCTTATTTGCACACAAATATGGTAATTATTTTTTAATTAAAATCCTTTTACCCTAAATCTCCTGTTTAAAAAATAATAACGTTTCTAAGTATTTTCTTATCTACATTAATTTTTACCTTCAAACCAAACTAAGCCAAGCATTTCGGTTTGATCTTATTAAAACGTAAGAATAAAACAAAAGAAAGTATCCCACTTCTCAGTTCTTTCTGGAGGATATATCTCCTTCTTTTAATTATTTTTTATGTGCTTCTGCCAATTATTCTATGACTCTCGAAGCAATCAATAAGAAATGACCCTTTACTTAACTCCCAACAAGTTCCAAGTTGAAGAGGGTGTGATTCTAACTAGATAAACTTCCAAAGAAGTTAGTAAGACGAGATGGTATCGGGGGAAGCATGAATTAAGGTTGGACAACCATATGACTTTTGATCTCTAACATTTACTTTTTGTTTTTTTTTTCTTTNTTTAACTTTTCTCATGACAACACATTATTTAATATAATTAAAAATATATGCTTAAGTTATAATTATTAATTTAAAAATTAACCTTAGAATTTAACAAAATATCTAATAAATGAAATAAACATCTTATACTGTATAAAAATCTTTACTTTTGAATCTGTTTCCATCGATTTAAAGTCCTTAGATATGTACAGTACTTTGCTAATTAAACTGGGAAAACAAAGTAGCATTATGCAAGATTCGGCTGGAATATCTGAATTTATTTATAAATAAATTTTAATAAATTTACATTTAATTTAATACTTGAATAAAGAATCATCGCTATTTCCTTTTTTTTATAATAAATAATTCAATTTTTTTTGTATGTGAGATTCTTTTATTAGCAATTTTATAAGATGACATGTATATAGCAAGAGAATTCTCAAATATTGGTAGCTCCATGATGGCCATTTTGGAGTTTTATTGCAATAAATAAAAAAAGATATATTATAATTCTAGTTTTCGATTTTCAGTTTTTGTGTTATAAATCAACGATTTTCAGAATTATAACACGGAAACAATAAGTATTACAAAAGTGTTAGAAAAGAAAAATATTTACTATATAATAGCTTTTTATATAACATTATGACAGTTATATCTTCGATAGTTACAAGTTCTATAGCTCAGAATTTTATTGGAGAAAATTCAATATCTTTTTATATCTACGCAACATTACTAAACAATTTTAACTTTACTCCTTTAGTTTTTATGGAATGTATATATGAAACCAAACATGTTTTAGTCTATAATACTGTATATATCTAAGTAAAAAATCTATAATAAAAAATACTTTAAATGTAAATATTAATGTCTCTATCTAAATTATAAAGCCTTTAGTTTCACCTAGCCTATACGTTTAACTCAAAGCGAAATGAAGATATCCACTTGAAAAGTTGTGTATTCTGACCCCGTGTAATAAACTATCAAGGTAAGCCGAGTTTATATGATAAAAAAATACTTTAAATAGAAAACAGGGCCTCTAGAGACTTAAGATGGTCCTGGGCCTAAAATGATGGCTCTTAAAGCGATCAAAGAGGAATTGACCCTTAACTTCTGCTTGCAGTAAGTCGATCCTAAGAGTTGAGAAGGAGGGATTGACATTGAGCTAGACAAGCCACCCGAAAGGAAGTTAGTAAGTCGAGATGGTGTCAAAGGAAACCGTGAACCGGGGTCACACATCCACATGACCTATAACCTGACACTTCTAATGTCATATACGCTGATGTTCGATGGATCCATTTCGCATATATAAAAAAAAAAATTTCATACATAATTTAAAATGTTATAATAAATACGACGATAATCAGAAATAGTTACTATTTTTATAAACAGATGGCGTTACGTTTATTTCGGTTGAATTTTTCACATTTTCTTTCGGCCTTTTTTTCGGGATTGGCAACGCTGTCTTCTCCTGACGTCAATCAGCACGCGACTTTGCATTCTCAGACACGGAAGCGCCATCCCATGCGCATTTCGTAAACATTTATAGTCAAGTGAGTGAAAGTTTACAAAGTGTTGCTGATCCTTATCAAATGTCAGTTTATTTGATGTATCACCACCCAAAACAGTGTAATATACAAAACGTAACTTTAGGGTTTCGTATAACCCAAAAAGAGGAGGGAGATAGGAAGGATAAAAAAGAAAAAAATATATATATATCTTTGTCAGTTTTATTCCGGCCATCAAGAATATTTACAACTAAGTCGAGGAAGAGGATGTCACCAACCTCTCTACTTACTGCTTGACAAATGTTAGAGATAAGGTCTTTTAATTGTTGGTGTCATTTCACAAGTCCCTTCTCGTCTACCACCCCTTGGGAGGCATGAGTTCTTTTCCGGCGTCCACTCATTTCCTGTACTGGGCTGCTGGACAGCAGGTGTATTCGTGCTGCAGCTGAAAGAAAACACCTGTCTTCTCCCTCTTTCTCTCTTATCAATATTATGCAGTAACCTAAAAAGAGTGGGGCATGGAGGTGCAAATCACGAGGTTAATTCCTATATAACAGATGGCACATAGTAAGATTCTTCGAAATATTAATGCTTCGATCCGACAGGCAAACGGTCTGCCGATTAGATATCAAAGTATTAAGTTAGGTTAATGGAACACGAATGCATTTCCTTAGCTGAGCGGAAGGATCTTATAATGTCGCTATTCGGGGGGGGGTCGCATAGAAAATATAAGGGAAAATGCTAATCATTTATGTGCGAAAATTGCTACAATCTCGTCGTTAATGTATACACGAGGATGATTATAACATAATAGTATCAATAGACCTTTAATAATTGAAGTACAGTAGAGAATATATTGCGTACTAACTGTATTCGTAGTACAATAGTTTAAAATATAGTTTTAGCGTTACACTCGATTATACATGCAATTATAACGTTAGTTTCTACGTAACTAAGAGCACGTTACTTAAATTTTACATAAAATCTACTCTGTACGTTACGGTCATACATAACATACTTTGAGGTAAATACAGTCAACCGTTTGTTAGCCTGCGAAACTGATGCTAAATCGAATGTGGCGCTAAAAGGAATAATATCGATAACATCTATATACCGGTTCGAGTTTGGAAGTCAGGTGATTATGTTATAACAAAATCGTACAGACAATGTGGTGTTGTCTGTGTGATATTTATGGGGAATCTGTTACGTGTTTTAGCGTTATATCGAGGTTTAACGGCACAGTACGTTAAGTTATACGTTAAATACGGATATGTTATGCTATCTTTCATAAAATACTTTAAATTAAAAATGCTACTAAATCCTATAACGTCCTCGTAGGCCTAAATGATGTGTTTCGGTGTGTATGTACTATACAGTATATGTATATAGGCTATATATAGAGACTATATAGACCTATTTTAGAAATTCTGTCTCTAACGTATGTATAGGTTATCTAACAGAGAATATAGAAAGTAAAGAATATAAATAATATTTCCGTAAAGTATATAACGAAGGGATATTCTTTAGAAATATCCTCTCTCTTTACAGATTATCCTTCCTCTTTTACAGATTAATTACTCTCTTTAGAGCTTTTTTTTGTCGAACCCCCCTCTCTCTTTAGAGTTATTCTTTATAACTTCCTTCTCTTTCTTTAGAGATGCTCTTTAGAATTATTTCTCTCAGAACTATTCTTCATAAATCATTCGCTCCCTTTAGAGCTATTCCTTAATATCTGTTTCTTTACAGCTTCTTTTAGAGCTATTCTCTTCCCTCTTTAGAGCCTTCTACAACTATTGTCAGTCTTTGGAGCCATTGTTTCACTTTTAAGTACACTTTATGTAGATTTTTGGCCCGACTTCGGAGACATAGGTTAATCGATGCCAATGGATGTTACATAACAAACGACGATATATCAACGATATGCCATATCCGGTTGATGTGCCGAGAAGATGGTGTACTTGACGAGAATAACAGTAAACAAGAGAGTTTTGATAGTCAGCAGGGAATTATCGGATAATGTTTATAAGTTAGAGTTAGCTGTTGACGTGATGTTAGTTTTGGCACAATTCCGAAATCTTGCTCGTTGACAAGACATGAAAAAATGAACTGTAAGAACGTTGAAGGAAAGATATACTATTTGTCATTCCCAGATTGATAAGTTGAAATTGAAAAAAATACGACCACAGATATCGTCAGATTCGCATTCGATAAGTAAAATTCCTAAACGTAGAAGATATATATGTACTTAAGTGCAGTTTATATGTACCTGTACAAGTAACTTACTTCATAACTTACTTACGTGTAAATATAAATTTTCTTTCTTTTCAGATATCTTCTCTCTTTATCTCTTTAGATATATGCACGCTCTTTAGAGATGTTCTAAAGATTATGCATATGTTTAAAGAGAAGGAGGATATCCCAAAGAAGGAAAATTTATATTTACAAGTAACTAACTTCATAATTTATTTACGTGA